TATTGTATTGTGTTTTTATGGAAGTAAATGCATGCTGTTTAAAAACCTCGCGATTGCTGAACAAGAAAACGACACATTCAAATGAAAGATGTGCTAGAAATCCGTACAATATGTAATGTTAGGCCATACCAAATAAATAAATAGGAAAATAAATGAATATTAGGCAAATAAATGAACAGAATAGCAATAAATAAAGGAACCTATCAAGATATTCCACAAAAGTATGATAAAAGTACTGCCTGTACTCTTATGACTACGAAAGTAACTTGTACGCACATATATGTGTATACATATATGTAACTATACTTATACGTATGTACCTTTTACTATTATTTTTATAAAACCCGTCTTCACATCTACTTTGCGTATTCCAGCATTTCTCACATTCGATTCGTTTCCTCGCATCCATCATCCACGAAGGTCTTCTAACTTTTAGTCGCGGCTTTGGTTGCTACTTGAGGATTTTCATTTCATGTTGAATGTCGTAGAATGCTGGCCGAGGCCCTTCTCACTGGAGTCCTGGGAGAGCCGAGCTAGAGCATTCCAAATTTGATTGCAGAGCGTGATTTTTTCCGGGCAAGTCCGGTACCAATTTCTTTAGCCTATAAGGATTGAAGGTTTGGTGAGGCCAGATCGGGATTGAATCAGCACCATGCCAACCAGTACCATGCTCGTGATGACTAGCACCACTACCACTGTGCTATCAGCCCTCTACGCAGATGTATACACATATTGTATGTGTGCATGTATACATATATATATATATATATATATATGTACGTACACATACGTATACATATACTAGCATGTGTACGTATATGTATATGTACATACATATGCGTAAATAGATGTCTGTAGATGTGTATTTACATGCACTGACAGATATATGCATTTACATAAAATATGCATGTGTATATGTGCAAATGTATATACACGTAGTGTGTATATATATGTATACGTATGCATATATATGTATAGGTGCACGTGTAGCGTAGTGGTCGGAGACATCCTACAACATGCATGGGATCGATCCCCGCGCCCAAGGCCTACAAACCCCTCCATCAATCCGGAGTCGGCAAATTGGTACCAGATTTGTCTGGGAGAATAGCAGTACGAGCTCGATACATCAGCAGGCCACCGCGAGTCATTGTAAAGGCCAGATATACTCACCTCCAAGGATGCTTAGCGAAGTTTAATGCATAGCACATCCCTCATAGATTGTTCGACACCAAGAGCTTTATCCTTTTTATATGGATACAAGGATAACATTACCTATTCCTAGCTACCATACTCCATGAGCTCGGACTGACGCTGGTTCCCATGGAACGAACAGAAAACTCGTACTCAGTATCAGGGCGTAGACCGTCAATTATAACCCATGACTCAGATGCATTAACGAATCGCATCTGGTTACCGTCCGCACTAAAATGATCACAAATTAAAAATTGGTGTTTGCATAACATGGTTTCGCTCTCTCGAAAACACAATAAGGTAGACCTCAGCGAACATAATTTCTTCCTAACTATTCAGATTAAATTAATGTTATCTAGTTAACGGTTTACTGATTTCCAGAGAATGATCATAGCGGTTAAAATGAAGCAACGGTTAATTGATAGTCAAATCATCGGACAATGAACTTTTCCAAAGAAAGGTTTCTGTAACAAATTAAGGCTTGTGAATGGCCATTTTGGTTACATTGTGCGGCGAAAAATTTTGGAACCTGCTGAATTGGAAAAGGACAACATAATGTTAAAAATCAACATTACAAATTTTCCTGCACACAAGTAGACTGTCTTAGAGATTCTCTTAGTTTAGAAAGGCTTAGACTGTGGGGAGTTATGGAGAGAAAGAGGGAGGGAAGAGGGAGAGCCATGTAAGAAAATCGCTCAAAAACGATTTTTAAACCGGAAAACGTCCGAAAACCCCGAATATTCGAGGTTAGGTGGGGTGGTGACGACGGTCGCGTCGCGGCACCCGGCCAAACCCAAGGGGCGGGACTACGTTCACGCGCCCGTAATTCTTCGAATTTCGTCGCGCAAACGCAATCATAAATATTTGAATATTATGCGGACGAGTTACTGTAGTGGATGAGTTACGGCAGCGGACGAGATGTCCGGTCACGGACAAGTTTTCGGCGAAAAGTGCGGAAAACGCGATATTAGGGTAGACTTTTTCTTGTTCTAGTGATATAACTTTGCGAACACTACTGTTGCATGAAATTCCGAAAAGGAAACCAAGCCATTGCGTGAATAAAACTGTCACCATAAACAAACAGTATGAATGTTCATGCATAAAACTCTCCCAAATTCCTTTAGTGACGTACCCTCCAAATTTCACTTTTAAGTCGCTATTTCTTTTGAACTACAAAAAATTGAGCAAAAATTTTACTACTAGTAGTTATCGATGACAGAAAGCAGAAACTGCACCAGGACCTTCTCAAACGGAGAACACCAGTAAGATACAGCAAAGTAGAACACTTGTTTCAAGGAAACCTAACACCGTATGTGCTACTTTTTAAGGTTAGATATTTTTAAGGTAGATTACAATCTACGACTAAGAGCTTAAATTACACATGTACCCGGTGGAAATATGACTGATTTGACTTCACAAACGTTCGAAAATCTGTACGAACTCTCATGTGTCATAAAACCTCAAATATACCGCACAATTGCTTTAAACAATTCCGAGAGTATCTCTCGATTTCACGGTTCATATTAACCGACCTGGTACTGTACCGTACTGTGTAAAGCACATTGAAAGCATTGGGATCTGATTCTGTCCATGAAACCCGAATACCAGTTGCTGATAAGGTCTCAGCGCTAACGCCAAGTGGCGTATTTAGTTGTTCGGAAGCCATCGCTCCACCAAAAAAAGAAACTGATGAAGGCGAAAGCGTCCTAAAAGTTGGTTCATTTCACTATAATCAAAACAAAGACATAGAATATTCTGGAAGAACGAACTCTTACTTGACTGTTTCATAGATCGGAAAACCAGAACCCTGTTTGTTAAACGCACGTAATGAGACGACATACTCCCGTGATGGACGAAGTCCAGTTATTTTGTGCTGGAAAACGTTCGCACCAACGCGCTCCATGGAAACATCAGGAACATTGTTTCCCCAACCAATCTGCAAAGATTTTAAAGATTGCAAACTAAAAGTAAATAAACACAATCTTAACCCTTTTATTTACTGCCTTTTTCCTTTTAATGGCAGCGTATGTTACGAAATATAACTCGTATATAATGCTGATATATTTGCAAAACTCCGGACCGCAGTTGTATGCGGTGGGGAACGAACGCGCGCTATTGTCCTTTCCGGGGAGTACCGCACTGCACCACCACACCATCCGGGTCCTTCGTTTCACCTGTCTCTCAGCTAGTTCTATCGATCTCTACCATCAGCAGTCACCCGTCAGCGAGATTGAGCTGGGGAGCACAAATCGGCAGTGAACCCAGTTAAGCTGAGGCTTTAGTTATAATCACAATCTTAACCGTTTTTATTTACTGCCTACGCTTTCTAATGGTAGGGCATATTGCGAAATATAACTTTAATGATGCTGAGATATTGGTGGTGAGAGCGTTACTCCCGGAAATGACAATAGCGCGCGTTCGTTCCCCACCGCATACACCTGCGGTCCGGACTTTTGCAAATATCTCAGCATTATATAAAAGTAAATAGTAAGGACCGAATGAACCTGATATCCCCTGACTAAATTGGTTTCATCGGCTGGTGGTAGCCACGAAATGAGAATGTAGTCCAGGCCAGCTTGTGGACGAAGCTCTCGTGGTGCACCCAAGACCAACTCTTCCTTATCTACAAGAGAGGTGGCAACGGGCAACCAGTCAGAGTAAGGTCCAGTTCCATTCTGCAAAAACGAATTGAAGAACAACAGTCATGTCAGCGTATAAAAAACCTAGAAGAGCAAATTTCCCTACAGAACGTACATGATTTACGACAGCCATTCTTACTAAATATTGAGTGTTGACATCGAGGCCAGTGATCACATATTCCCTCTCGTTTGCATCCAATACAAAAGTGTTCCCTTTACTTCCGCGCATTCTTGTTTTATATTTAAGTCTAAAACCACGTGGTGCCTTGATTACATTATCGAACTCTTAAATAACTTATTACCTACATCATATACAACTTACCTATATCCTGTAATTTCTCCATTAGAACTATCTACATCTGGCTCTCTCCACGTAATTCTTACGCTGTTGCTAGATAAGCTCTCCGCAGCAATGTCTCGAGGAGGGGAAGAAGGGACATCCGAAAGAGTTCGAACCTTCAATAAAACAAAAAATTGGAAAACAGCATTTCACACTTACCCACTGAGAAGACGTTCAGGATTTTTATTTCATTCCCGCACATATAATTTTAAATTAACAGAAAGAGAGCTAAAATTAGTTCGCACTTAACATTTTCATTGATGTTTCCACTTTTTGTTCAATACCACCCACCTTCACAGGATGGCTGCTCAAACCGCTTCCGTTTTCTCCTTCTGCCTCGACACGAATCTGGTACTCCGTAAACTTGTCCATGCCATGCAACGTATATGCCGTGGAGGATATCTGCAAAAGTGTCCTCATTGATTCACTCTGAATGCTGACAATAAAACTTTCAATTAACCCTTAGTGCCGCAGAGAATGCAGAGGGAAGTCAAAAATTGCAGAGAAAAGTTATTTCTTTTTTTAAACCAACACTCAAGGGCAAATAGGTAGCCTAGCAGTTGAGCACTTCAAAAATATGTGATAACAGAAGAAACAAGTTCAATGTTAGAAATATTTTGCTACTTTAATTCTTTCTTTTACATAACCCGTCTCCAAATCTGTCCATTTTACATGGCACGTCTTCACATCTACTACGTGGACCCTAGCACATCATGCATTCGACTCATCCTCTTCCATCTATGAAAATTTTTGGATTTACGAGTTCGGTCGGTGCTTTACGATTTTCGATCCTCGTGACGAATTACGTTCAATGCTTGTCGAGTCGGGAACCCTAGAATAGTCATACTGGGACGTCGTAGTGCGGGGAATGGGCTGACCGACAAATCTTGTACTAATTTCCCGACTCCGTGGGGACGAGATGGCTGTCGATCCGAAGGCGGGTCGAGCGAGCACCGTGGTCGTTATGAAGAGCATCGCTAACACTGCGCTATTCAACTCCATGTTCCCAATAAGCGAACACTACCACGTACCTCCAATAAGCAGTACAATGAACTAGCTTCCAATATAATGATCACTTTCAACATCAAAATAACGTAGCACATATCGAATCCTGTTGAATACAACAGAAAGCCTTAAAATTTAGATCTCTGCCAACAAGATGAAAGTTGTCTCATCCTCTCAAATCTAAGCTTTTCGAACCACAGGTAACAACTGGAAAAACGGAACTCCGTTTTTGCAACTATCGTGCTTACATTAAGACTTTCTAACTTCGATTTGGTAGTGAATATATCTAAAATTGGAAGAATGACCCAAATATCTCAATTCTCCAAATTCTCGTTATGTGCCGCTTATTTACACATATATACATATACATATATAAATATGTATGCTTATATACACCCGTACACACGTGTATGTATATACGCATATATGTATATATATATATATATATATACATGTTTATATACGTACATATACATTTATTTGATGGACCAGAGCAATGTCTCTTCTAAGAATCTGTTTCCAACTTTCCAAACACTAATGAACGACAAATTATTCTCGGTTGTAGAAAAACCAGGATAAAGAGTTATGTATAAACAAATTGCTAAGGAACACCACATATAGAAATATATATTTACATGTAGGTTTAAAAATTTCGTCTCCAAAATGATGGAAATACTTCAGCGGAAAGTAAGGGGAAAAACTGCTTACAATTGTCTGCGTCTCCTTGTCGTCAGGTTCCGGAGGGTTTCTCACATAGAAAAGTTTGTATCGAAGTGCAGTTGGTCCTCCTTCGGGAGGATCCCACTTTACCTCTATTGTTTCGGGACCTATCGCGTGAGCAACCAAATTAGTCACTCGACCAGGCACGGCCTCTATAAAGGGAAAATTTTGTTTAATATTGTTTTAACGTTTTGTTTTCTGCCTTCTATAATTTTCATGGCAGGTTACTAAGCGAAATACAACCACAATGTTGCTGAGATATTTGCAAAACTCTGGACCGCAGGTGTCTATGGTGGGGAACGAACGCGCTATTATCCTTTCCGGGGAGTAACGCGTTCACCACCACACCATGCGGGTCCTTTGTTTCGCACGTCTCTCAGCTATTTCTATTGATCTTTTTGCCACAGCAATCACCCGTCAGCGGGGTTGATCTGGGGAGCGCAAATCGGCATAGAACCCAGTTAAGCTATGGCTGTAGTTGAAATCACAATGTTTTAACGTTTTGTTTTCTGCCTTCTATAATTTTCATGGCAGGTTACTAAGCGAAATACAACCACAATGTTGCTGAGATATTTGCAAAACTCTGGACCGCAGGTGTCTATGGTGGGGAACGAACGCGCTATTATCCTTTCCGGGGAGTAACGCGTTCACCACCACACCATGCGGGTCCTTTGTTTCGCACGTCTCTCAGCTATTTCTNTGAGAGACGTGCGAAACAAAGGACCCGCATGGTGTGGTGGTGAACGCGTTACTCCCCGGAAAGGATAATAGCGCGTTCGTTCCCCACCATAGACACCTGCGGTCCAGAGTTTTGCAAATATCTCAGCAACATTGTGGTTGTATTTCGCTTAGTAACCTGCCATGAAAATTATAGAAGGCAGAAAACAAAACGTTAAAACATTGTGATTTCAACTACAGCCATAGCTTAACTGGGTTCTATGCCGATTTGCGCTCCCCAGATCAACCCCGCTGACGGGTGATTGCTGTGGCAAAAAGATCAATAGAAATAGCTGAGAGACGTGCGAAACAAAGGACCCGCATGGTGTGGTGGTGAACGCGTTACTCCCCGGAAAGGATAATAGCGCGTTCGTTCCCCACCATAGACACCTGCGGTCCAGAGTTTTGCAAATATCTCAGCAACATTGTGGTTGTATTTCGCTTAGTAACCTGCCATGAAAATTATAGAAGGCAGAAAACAAAACGTTAAAACATTGTGATTTCAACTACAGCCATAGCTTAACTGGGTTCTATGCCGATTTGCGCTCCCCAGATCAACCCCGCTGACGGGTGATTGCTGTGGCAAAAAGATCAATAGAAATAGCTGAGAGACGTGCGAAACAAAGGACCCGCATGGTGTGGTGGTGAACGCGTTACTCCCCGGAAAGGATAATAGCGCGTTCGTTCCCCACCATAGACACCTGCGGTCCAGAGTTTTGCAAATATCTCAGCAACATTGTGGTTGTATTTCGCTTTGTTTAATATTATTGAGAAAATATTCTAATAGGTGTGTTAACTTACGCTCCTTCTTGGTAGTAACTTTAATGTAGTCACTGGCTTTTCCTACTCCAGCCTCATTCTCTGCTGCAACGCGTAACAGGTACAATGTATTTGGTTGCAACGAAGTGACTGTCACCGATGTGGATGATGAGTTAACCATTCTCTCTCTAATTAAAAAGCGCTTTCCAAAACCAAGATACAACAAAGAATAAAAATTGCACGCACCTATCACTATTTTCTTCTTTGTATAGCACATGATAACGCATCACACGGCCGTTACGGACAAGTGGCGGATCCCATTCCAAATTAATGAACCGACTTCCTTCAACAGAAATGCCATACCGCCAAAAAGCAAGTCGAAAATGTTGTAAACGACCCTCGAAAATGTCACCAACCAAGTGCTCCAATTTTAACACCTAGAGGTGCAGAAGCAATCAAAGGTTCACCGGAAGAAGCAGCAACAGACGAAGAATCTGAAGGTGTGAATTAAAATAACGTAGTTTACAGGAGTAACATAGACAGGTATCAATCTTATGAGTGATAAAACGGTCAAATAAGAACAAAGTTCCATTTGTTAAGCTATATAAAGGATAGTATCACCATAAACACGCAAACATATGTAGTGAACACGCTGATAAAATGTAGCCATGCAAAGAGTTGGTATCAGTGAACACGGCAATAGCAAATCTTGATATAAAATGCCCGAAGCAACTATGAACCAACCATCCGCAGGTAACGAAATAGGACTAGTTCGTAAACTCATAGTATTGCTATCAATACCGATGGTGGCGAGATATGTAGGACCTGACAGAATTTAAACAGCAAGGAAAAAAGAAGACAAAGAAAAAGTGGTGATTTAGAAAAATAACATTCACATTCAACATTCAAAGACCATCCTGAAACTCTTCATACCTGCGATATCGACCAACAATTGGGCGAAACCCTGTGCACTTCCGGCTTCGTTGTCCGCGAAGCACTGATACACACCTTGATCAGCCTTTACGAGTCCAAGGATACGCAATCTAAAGAAAAAATCGGTTAATTTAAAAAATGATCATTAACACGAAAAAAAGTTTGCCTTGTAGGTTCAATCACAAAGTAGTCACTAGCGACAATGGCTTCTCCATTCTTGAACCAGGAAATAGTTGGAGCCGGACGTCCTGTCGACAAGCACTCAAACTTAAACAAAGTTTCATTAATCAAACTTGCAAATAAATATTGGAAAAAAACAAAGAAAAAATGTAATTCACCATAACGTCAGTTGTTTCCAATGCCACTTTGTTCTCTGGTCGTAAAGTTAGTCTAGGTTCAGCTAAAAATAAAGAGCTCTAACTTAAACAGTTTCAAGCACTACCAACCGAAAAAAACCAATCGCATTCTTCAAAAGGAGAATATTGACTTACCAGCAATATGTACAACAACTGTTCGATCCAGAGAATCATGTGTATTACTTGCTCTGCATGTGTACAAACCCGAATCAGACTCGACTACGTTGGAAAGAAGAAGAGATGAGATCCCCACACGTCGTATTCTTAAACCATCATACAAGACCTGACGTGTATCCTTTAACCTGAAATGTGGATGCCATACGATAAGCAATATAAGTAAGAAAACATAGATATGAGGCAGTTTGCAAGAAAACTGGCATAGGAGAAACAAACCTGCATTGAATAACAGTTATAGAAGAGGTATATGGAAATAAAGTAGTTTCCAAAAAATAAGGCTAAAACCGTGAATGGCAAGATACATTAGTTGTACACCACTTTACCCTGTTTTGCGGAATACCGCCTGCTCAACCCCCACGGTGTTCAAAATGTGAGCCTCATTGAAGACAAATTTAAAAAAAAGCATTCTACGTGCTGCAGAAAACCGGTATTCTATGGTTGAAGAATCATAGTTGCATCTTGTTGGCCAAAATCTGTAGATTCTAATTGCGTTCACCTCAAATGATTTGTGGTGAAGTAGAAATAACAAGAAGTTCAAAAAGAGCTGAGCTATGCTTGTTTATAGGTGGAGGATATTATTACTTATTTCGGTTATGTGCATGTGTCATGTTGTGTGTACACAACGCGCATCATTCATTATGTGTGAAAGCACAAACAAAAATCCCACTAGAATCAACAGAACATTGCCAACTAGACACAGTAGCCTTTATTCTGTTAAACCGAAACGCCGATTTCCACGCAAATAGTTTTTTTTCTTTGTTTCATGAAGCAGCAAAATATCTGAACACGCGGAACTTCCTCCACCATGGTATAACGTTGCCTTCCGACGTGGCCCTGATCTACGCCACCGTCGGACTTAAATTAAAAACAAAACATAAATGCAAATTTATTTGTTTTCTTCTGATTTATAGCCACAACTATGTGAGATACTTGCAAAACTCCGGACCGCAGTGAGATCTGCGGTGGGGATCGAACCCACTATTACCCTCTCCGGGGGATAGCGCGTTCACCACCATAGCATGCTGGTCCTCTGTTTCGCCTTTCTCTCAACCTTCTTTGATAGGTGCTATCAGCAATCATTCGCCAACGGGATTGATCTGGAGAGCACAAATCGGCAATGAACCAAGTTAAGCTGAGGTTGTAGTTAAAATCATGTTTACCTTTATTTTCTGCCCACTAACCACAATGATGCTGAGATATTTGCAAAACTTCGGACCCCAGGCGTCTGCGGTGGGGAACAAACGCGCTATTACCCTTTCCGGGGGATAACGCGTTTACCACCATAGCATGCAGGTTCTCTGTTTCGCCTTTCTCTCAACCTTCTTTGATAGGCGCTATCAGCAATCATCCGCCAATGAGATTGACCTGGGGAGCACAAATCGGCATTGAACCCAGTTAAGCAGGAGCTATAGTGTAAATCACAATGTGATCACTTTTTATTTACTGCCTATTCTTTTCTTCATGAAATTACCTTCGTACCCTACCATAAAAGAATAGACAGTAAATAAAAGTGATCACATCTTTTATAATTACTTTCTCTTCAACAAATTCAAAACTGAAACAACTGTAAAAATTGTATGTACTTAAGTAGCTACAGAACAAAACTCCCTTAATACGTCTACCAATCTCTCATCCAAAGTGGCCTAGTTATCCAGAAAGACGCGAGAATCAACGAAGGTTAGGCGTCATCACACTCGGCTTATAACGAAAATAAGGTGTCATCGCTTATTTCATAAATAACGATAATACAGTACTACCACGATATATCTGGGAAACTGGAAATATTGTTTGATCTCGGATAGAGTTAAGACTAACCATCGCACTTCTGTAGAGCTATGAGAGCTAACAAGGCATTCCAGGACTACATCGTCACCTTCTTTTGCGGCTTGAACACGGGGTGATGAAAGAAAGGTGAGTTCGTGTGATGTGGTGGCTACAATATGTAGTACACAATGTGTAATTAATCCCTAACAGGATTAAAATCAATCCCAATATAGGACGATTTGAACAAGATAACGTATTACCGCTGTCAATACGCAGACGCGCAGTACTGCTAGTTCTCCGTTTTCCCGCTCCTTCCACCACACACTTATACTCTCCTTCATGCTGAGCTTGGACAGCCGAGATTTCCAATGAACTCGAAACAGGTAGTACATGGTAGTCTCCTGGAATCCAAAAGAATGGAATGCGCTCAGACTTGTGGACACCACATTGGCAGCTTAGAAAGCAGTGCTACGAACAGAATTTAATAAAATTACGTATGACATTGATTCCCATAAGTGCCACATTGCTTTTTGACTTTCAAGTCGCCAGAACTTCATGAATTTGATAATTTTTCATTCGCAAAGTCATTTAACATTTGTGCATGAGAGTGCTACATTTCACTACAAACTTCAAAAAATGGAAAACAAACATGGAGGATTGGACTCCTTTAAACAGAACAATATAAAAAAACTATAGTAAATCTTACTTCAAAAAACCGCCAGCTTTAATTCACATGTACCAGTTTTTTGCCAGATAATAACAACAGGACAGGAACAGTTTTTGGCAGTTAAAACAAACTACGGATTCCTTAAATATCCGACAAAATGCACTGGCCAGCCATTTGTACAACCTCACCTTCGTATTTGTTATAAACAAGTTACCTAGAGGTTTATTTATGCCATTTACTTGTGAGTAACAAAATAAACAGGAAGCAGTAATCTTTGTAACTACAACCCATTTCATTGTTTAAAAAAATGGTATTTGAATTGTTCATCACCTCGAGATATATGCATCCACTACGCTGGAAACAAATGGCATTAAAATTTCTCAACCCAAAGATAGCAATTTGGCCTTGCCATTGCAAGCAGTTTACTGGGCCTTCCGAAGGGAATGCGCAAACACATCATGGATGATTGACATAGCACACCAATGGGTGTGTGTAGTCGATATCTTTTAATCCATCTCCGAATTCTTGCAATACGAAAGCGCTAGATAACACTACTTACTCATATGACAAATCCTAATTGATTTACGCATGAAAACACTTTAGTGGAACCTTCCACTATTTGCTAAGACTTCTAATGAGCTAGACTAAGTGTTGCGACGTGCATTTGTAAGATTTCGAATACTATTAATATAAAACAAAGAGTGTCTCAGACTTGAATACTAATTCAAAAAAAGGATTATCAAGCAAAAAAGGTCCATAAGTGATATGGGAAAGATAACACACCACCATTCCGAATAGGTCTGTTGTTGTGATACCAAACAACTGCAGGAGGTGGTCTAGCCAACTGAAAAAAAAAACGAAAAATCAGATGTAAAATGCTCATAAAATGAGGGCTTCATCTCAAGAATATCAGGACTGAAATTGACGACTAACCGTAATGCACTGGAAAACTACCGGCTGACCTTTCGCAACTGTACGGTCGGTTGGTTGAACCTCGAATCTAAAAGTAGCCTTGAATCTGTGGCTGTATTACCTGTTAAACTGAATCAGAAGAACAGCAGCTAAAAGCTCATTTTAAATGAACTCACAATCACAACAAGAACGTGTAAAATAAACTCTTCCAAATATCTTCTCTTTCCTACGCTCATTAGTGCATAAAATTAACAGGAAAATTTTTTCATGGGATACGAACCAAATTCGCATTACCGTATAACGTTCAATGCTGAATATTTGATAATTCACAACTTTCAAGCAACTAGGATTTGAGGTTTTCAAAAACTTATAGCATATGCTTGGACCTATTCCTTTAAGTGTATATAAAAGTCCTAAAAAGTAAAAGTATAAAAGTAAAAGTAAAATGCCGCTGTCATTTCAAATCTGTCTGAAAACAAAATTCACAAAAAAGGACCGAATATTTTTTAAATCATTATCGCAGCTTTAAATCCCAATTACGCATTCGTATACACCACCATATCCTGTTCAACGAGATACCGATTGCTCATTTGTTTTCGATGCTCGAATATCGGCTTCTATGGAAGAAGGCGAAAAAAATTACGTCTTTCAAAAAACCAGAACTTTAACGCTGCATGGTAAAGGAACGCTCACCCTGTAGGCAATGACCTACGAATTTTTATTCCATTTAAAAACGTCCATTACAAGGAATACGCTCACTCAAAATTAAACGGGGTGACTATTTACGGCACGGCGGCACTAAAACCAAAAAAATTTACCTGCTAGGTAACATCATGCACCCTCGATTGTTAACTCAAATCCCCGTCAAGCTTTCAGAGGGGTATCCATCGCATATTAGGATTTAAGCATAAGCAGTGTGTGAGAATGCTCTCTTCTTCGGAACGATTACAGTTATTGCAGCTGGCAGTAAATAAAAATAAAAATAAAGTAAATAAAAAGGCAAACGTAATTACAGTTAATATTATTTCTAATTCACTCAAACTGAAAACTTATACCTGCAGAAACTGCAAGTGGTTCAAAAACATAGCAAAAGGAAATACTCAAAAAAGTTTAAGGTAATCGCCCCGCTTAGCCAAATCAGTGGACGGGTTGTTTTGATTTTTTCTCATCTTCGTTATTGTGCGACTATTAAGCATAAAAACTTCAATTAGTACGTATGTAAAAAAAATCCCCGATGTGGGAAGGGAAATTTTGATCCTTATCCTTTCTCAAAAATCCAACCTTACCAAGCTAGCTAAGGCGCTACAGTTAGTACATTTAGTGGGTTGGAAGCCTGAAAATCCCTGTTACATACAAATTTGGGTTTCGAGATGCTATAAAATTTTCTAGTAAGTTCTAGGAATACCAGTTAGCCGAACAAACTTTTTATCAACCTCATGTTACCTTGATAATCCAATAAGGCATTTCCAGGATGTTTCTTATTTGGCCATTTCCTTCGTTATTGCCAAGAATGTGGTTATGATGTTTGCATAGCAAGTAACGCGATCATGAGTTGTGTCGTGAGCAGGACTAGATATAGATTCCCGCCTCAATCTACACACCTTGGTTGGTCATCGTTGCTAGCAGATGCATCAGCTTCAGGTTTCCGATTTCGATATATCATACTACTCACAAATAATTTCGCCACCAATCAATAAGTTGCAGCGGATGATCCAAACAACCAAGCACGAGGAATAAATCGTAACTTTCTCATTTAAATTTGGCCTCAGTTAAGGTTTCGGAGCTTCATCCTCGTCCAACCATGCACACGTTGACAACAGTGTACGAGATCGTTTTGGTTATACTTCATGATGTGGTAAAAAAAATCGGCTACTTCTGATGCCGAAAACATTTCATAATGGTGAGCTCCTGGATGCTTTATTTATGCAAAACCCGATTATCGAATGAGTTAACTTTTCAGTTTTGTGGATTCGACCTAATACATCACTCTTGCTCCTAGAAAAGTCTTAGTTGTGGGGCAGAAATCTTTCAACCAAACCGAGTAGTTGCCTGTTGTAAACACTTGCGGACGATATAGCGCCGCTATGCGGGGATTCCATGGATGCTGAACCAACACATAACTTGTCATGGTAGTGAAAATACGATGCTCGTAGACAAACGAAATGGAAAAATTTCGTTCGCGCAAGACTTGGGAGAAGGGCAGACTTAAGCACCAATTCGACATTTACGACTCGATGCGACAGCGAATACTCCGCACCGCGAGGATGAAAGGCTGTTGATAATCGACTCGAATAAATCCAGCTCTGAAGAAGATAAAGACGTCGAGATGACAGTCGAATGAAACTTTGTACTAATCTCGTGTTAGCTTAATAACCCAAGAAAGTATTGATTATTTATGCAGAGGTTAAACGAAAACTGCTTTCAAAAAAATTGAGCATTTATCTTTCAATTTGTTGGTTTCCTAAAGGTATAGGGGCAGAGGTATAGTGTTTGCATTTATGTTTAATTCTCCATGTAAACTTTCAATTCACTGCAGGTGTATCAGCTTCAATAAGTCTAAAGTGTTCATCATCGATTCCACCATGTCATCAGTTCATCTCCAATGCCTCTCTTCCCTATTACGAAATTTGGAATCAATTTAAAACCGTACGATTGCTAACAGTTCGTTGATCTAACGCATTGTGAGTTAATACTTGGGCCTTACGCTCAAACTAGAATTGTTCAAATTTTTTCCACTTCTAATCGAGTTGTACGCAGAACAAAAAGAAAAAAAAAAAAGAAAATGCAACAAGAAAGAACAAAAAGGAAGCAATATAGAATACGCAGCGAAATATGAGTATTAAATAGTACAGAAAAACCTCATAAATGAGAAGTAATGCTGACAAAAGCTTACAAATCCTTTAATTCAAAACCAGACATTCCAATATGAATGGCCAAATACGGCATGCAGAATACGCATTACGTTTCCCTCGTGTGTGCATCCACATGAGATGTAGTGACTGGTATATACTAGACAACTGAGTAACCATAAGCTTACCTTGGAAGATCCAGCAATCTAACAACTGATCTTCGGCTCATGTACGTCCAAGTGAAACCGTCGTTTGATGTTGCATGGACAACACAGCGGTATGAACCAATATCGCTTGCCGTTACTTCGTGAATGAACAACGAACCGTTTGAAAAAAGTTGCCTAAAGAGCAAATTTTTACAAAACTGACTCCTATAAATCCCTACGAACACGTGGTCATGAAACCGATAATATACTGATTTGGGGTAAGGCTACAAGGAGTAAACATACTTTCTGTGTGCTAAGAAAAATGGAGTAGTATGAAAGCTTCAACATGGCGAGTTACGGTTCGCTATAATGATGGCCTACTCCAAACCACCCGAAGTAGAGTTAGAAAATCCATGACAACTAATGTGGAATGATGAAGAGACTCACATCCTACTGCTAGATTTGACATTGATCGGGGAACCATCTTTCCTCCATTCTAATCGAACATCTTTTATATTTGCTACCTCAACAGTGTACTGACAATTCAATAATAATAGACCATCAGCTACCGTGGTACTTTTCGGCTCACTATCGAAATGAAAGCCAATAAAGCGACTATCTGAAAAAAAATACTGGTGTAAAACTATCAACTTCACAAGTTCTCAAAAATTCACTATGCCTAATCCACACATCATTGAAATGCATTACCCTACTATATCTTGGGATATGATTATTTGGCCAGTTACAAAACCTCTGAGGTTAGTTAAACAGCAAAACCAGCTGGACGTCACAGCACACCTAACTACGTCGTCGATTAGGCTTGCTGCCAGAAGGCCAACATTCCAGTGAGACTCAACCCAACGTTCTACATTGTTCTATCAGTTGGATTAACTTAGCAGTTCAATTAAGCTAGAAAAATTGTTTAGAATTTGAGTTTGACCCTCAAGGATGAAACGGTAGCGTATACAGATGTAATATTGAAGAGAGTGTTCACGTATTCATGTTTCTTTTGCCACAAAAGACAAATTTCGGATAAGAAATCCAGTTAAAAGAGAGGGCCAATCTCATGAAGTCTCACACATGTGGTACATAACGAACGTAGCGGGAAAAAAGCCACAGAAAAACTTCTTCTTCTTTAAAGTTCATAACTGTGTAAGGTATGAGACAGCCCCGCAACTCAAAAGTAGAATAAGCCTAACGTAATTGGTTTTACGAAAAATTTGCTTATGAGCCTAAACATATTACGCACAGTGCCTATTTTTCCCGAGTCGGAGTCCCGACGATTTCTTGATAACCTGACCGACTGATCAGCTGGCACAAACCCATAGATTTATAAATGAAATGATGGTATATGAAATCTCCCTAACTTTGACTTCGTTCGATATCCCAGTTTTCAAAACACCAAACAAAATCTCCGTTAAAATCAAAGCAGGCTTAACAATAGTAGGCACCAGTGATGCACCATCACATCGTCTTGTACAAAATGCAGCTGGGTTGTTTGGGATACGAGCTTAGACGAAAGATGCGAAAAAGATGTGCTTTACGAGGTTTGAAGAACAGCAGGTTAAAAAACTTAATTTCACTGATAAGAACCTTCTAATTCTAAGTTCTAGTGTTCCCCTCTAACAGTGAGTTTCATCAGAAAACTGATACAAACTTCTAAACTTGGAAAGGTTACTTTCGCGTATGCGCGCATTGAAGTCAGTGCGAAGTGTTAAAGAAAGAGAGCAGTGAGGGTAGTAGGAATCACAGCGAATGTGACCTCGGATCGGATTCATATGGCGAGCTCATTAATCTTACGAGGGCTTTACATTGGACAGATGGCGTGAAGTACCTCAGGAAAGAAATGATCAGAAGAACGGACATTCGTGACGAAAAACAAAACAACAATAATGCCACTGAACTACAAAGAAAAGAAGATATTGCAAGGGTAACACCTACCTGGCCGGTTAGCTCTCTTAGCATGAAATCGCTTGTTAGCTACAGATGAAGGAAGAGTACTAAGAAGTAAAAGAAAATTAACAGCTATCCCTGAAAGGAACACGAATCACCCAAACGAGTGAGGTGTTACTTTTATGGCAAATACTTACCTCTGAGGGCAAGCATTGATTCCTTGCCAGAATATTACATAGCTATTTGAAAACAGGCATGAACATCGACCTGCAGCGTTTGACGAAATCAAGCAAAGAACTTAAAACATAGAATGTTCAAAAGCCAACTTTTTCGCAGTAGAAAGAAACAGAGAGAGGAAAAATATATGACAACCACAAATCGAAGTTAGAAAGCGGCTTTGAGGAAGGCGAAATTCGTCGAAAGGTCAGCTTGTTCGTGAAGAAAGAACGGAGTAACAGCGCGTGTTTGCTCAACAAGAATATAAAGGATCACAAATCTAAGCCTTAAAAATTTGAACTACGTCAGAGCATAACGGTAGGGCAAACTACGCAATATAACCCTATCATGGCAGGAAAATCTCGAGCATACACTGCAAAATATAGCGTTGAACAATACGTACACCGAAACTCAACCATCAACATGTGCAGTTTCAATGCCCCTCCTATTACCAAGCACAAAGTACTACCACTAGAAGCACTGAATAAGACTTGAATTCAACAGCCGGTCAGACTCTAGCCGTCCGTCCTTGCAGCAGTCGGCGTTTGCAGCTGTCCGCACTTGGCCCAATACCGAGGGGCGGGGCAGGCTTAGATCTGCAGCTGGCCGCGTGCCATACTCGTCGGAATGGTTTTCGGCTTGGGCGGTCGCGATGCGGTCGGCGTGCGCGTTCTCGCGGTCGCTTCACCGCGTAGCAGGTTGGGCAGTGCGTCAGTACTCAGTAGTACTTAGTGTATCGTCAGGTTGCTGTTGTTTTTATTTCTGTAGCACTTGCCTAATTTCACTTTTTCATACGAAACTAGAAGTAGGACTTGTTGAAGGCCTGTAGAAGGCCTTCATTGTCATTTCGTTGAGTTCGTTTTCGTTGACGCTGTGTTTGCTCGTATTTTCACAATGCCATTGTTTCTTCCTTAATGCAGCTACCCACTTGCGTAATGTCATCGGATAAGCAAGGATGGCTATCGGCAGTGAGCAAACTATTTTCTGGTGGTAGGTTATGCGATGTCTACATTTCCATATTTCCATGCCTTCCGTTGTTGGTTGTCGTTTTTGGCGCCTGATATTCGCCATTCAGGGCAACAGTCCACCAGTCGTGTGGTGGGACAGAGATCTATCGATATACAGCATTCACCAAAATGTGATCTGAATAGCCCACATCGGAATTTTAACTCTGTAAATGGTATTTTTTAGAATTTGGTAGTGTCGGTGTCCTTTTAATCGTTTGCCTTTGTGGGATGTATGTTACCTGTCCGACAAGATTCCTTAAATATCTTGCCAGTTTAAAATTGTTGTAGCTCTTTTCCGAGAAATGTGATTAGGTGGCTATACACTTTCGCCAGTAGCAGAATCCTGCTCTGTACCCGCACGGAATCTGCGGTATCTCAGTCCTTCTGCATTGGAAACGGGTGTTTCTCAGCCGGGTGTTTCGAAACCAGTGGCATTCGACAGAAGCAGCGTCTCATGTATAACATCGGTAAACGAATTTTGTGTATTGTAGTCTTCAACTATTTATCTATTTCATGTATAGACGTTTTTTTCAGCGCAAAAGAGTTCTAACACAAGAAGATCACCCTTCCACTGCGATAGATACTCTGCTGTGTCAAGAGAACCCAAAAAGATCTAGAAGAGAGCAGTTCGCTAGTACTATGCTTGAGAATCTGGTTAGTCGCAATATAATAGTTAGGTTTCATTACGTTACCGTATTTTTAAACGTTTCCAGTCTCCTCGTTTGTTATCGGCTCATCTTGACTCAAGAATGAACAGAAGTGTTGGAGTTCCTTCATCTTCTGTGGAATTTCTTCATTCACCAATTTCTAATCGTTCCTTGATTGAGTAGGTTTTTGCTACAGATACCAAGTCCTTTAGTGTCTAACATTCTTTTCAGCATGTTTTTACATTAGATATATTTGGGTAGTGGTGTCAAGAATTTCCTTATTAGTACATTCAATACTGTTTCGGTAGTACTAAGTCGTAGGTAAGAAGTAAAGTGTTACTTGCGTCTTAGTGAAGTAGCTCATTTTACAGGCGGATTGGGAGCAGTCGTAGCAATGCTTCCAGTCTCAGTTCCAAGACAAGAGCCATACTTAATCATCTCGAAAGAATAAACACTCCAGCTCGAGTAAGCATTTTATTTGTAATCCATTGTATTGTCACTTTTACAGTTTTTCTTTTAAATACAGAAGACGTTCGGGTCACGTGTACTGATCATTCTACACAAGTAGGTCTTCTTTTAGGAAGCTCGGAAGTTGCCGGTGATGCGTGGTTCAACTTTACCGTCTGAGCGTTGGGCTCCAATGAATTCGAGTACTACTGCTCCTCCGCTTGTGAAAACGAATGCGAATGTACCATCACGCATTCAACTCCTTTCTGCTTCGTTAGCTTCTCAGCGCAAACCGTATTGGTGCGTTGCAAGTTCTATATTGATTTGGCGATTTTTTCTTCACAAACTAATAAATCCCACTAGGGAACATTTGGAGAAGAGTTTGATATAATTATTGTATATTTTAATACAGGTTAAACCCAACTTAAAAGATTTCTTTTTATACTCACAGGCGTGATATTACGAGAAGAGCTAAAGATAAAGACAGAAGTCCTTCTCCAAAACGTGACCGCACAAGTGGGAATAGTTCGGTCAGTTTGTTTTTCCATATTTAATTCGCTTCTAATTTTCAAATAACCTACTGTGGTTTTTTTTAACAACCTATTTGGCAGGTTCATCCTCTATTTGATATGGAAAATACCGATTCATTTGGTGTGGGTTCATGTCTATCCTCCATATCATCTCAAGCAAATGTTGGAACTGAACAGACGGCACGAAATGGGCACTCTGTCGAAGGTATTATCTTATCGTCTAAGAAAAAACCGTTATGATGGTCTTGCCTTTTCGGCGAATTTTCCAGTGTATAATAGACTACCGCAGACTGGTTACCGCAGTATGCATTCCCTCTTTAAGATTCTAAATCTTTATTGAGGCAAGAAGTAAGTACACAATCTTTGAACGTGGAATGATTTTATAGCTTGAGGTACTCTTCAAATGCCAATCACACACGTTTACTTGTGCGGCTCACATATGGGAAGCCGAGGTTAATGGTGCTTTGTAGAGCGTTTCTATACGGAATGTTTTAAGCATGGATGTTGACACTCACTTCACTTGAGAAATACGGTGTTAAAGTCGGCAATATTTTTTTTGGTGGTTATGAGGTAAGGATAGCGCGCTGCTGGAGATACTGCTCAGTATTGCGCATAAACCTTGAGTAAAATCCCATTGAGGCCTTCCATGGTCGACAAATTGACAGCAAAGTTGTCTGGGGAGTATTCTTTTTGTCTATCTTTTCTATGATCTGACTGATATCTTCCTGTGGTGAAGACCTGGATCTAATACGCTGTCTTAGGATTACAAGAAGAATTGATTTCACCAGCATTGAATGATATCCATAAAGAAAAGCAGAATCGAGGGCCTTCGAGGATGACTGATGTGAGGGTACAGACCAAGAACTGCGATCACCGCAATATATGGTATTGGGTTCTATAAAACAATTGTAGTTATCCTTGCCTCGGTGACTGAATACTTCGGACTGAGTGCAGTCGTATGATTACAAATCCATGTGAAACATCGTTAGGATGGTAAAAGGAAAGCGGACGTTAGAAACTTCGAATCTGGATGTTCATAGGAATTTCTGTTTAGCCTGGTAATACGATCATCTTAATAGATGAAAGATTTGCCAGTGAAAAACTGATCACGCGCAACCCTTTTCCATTCCAGATTCTATATGTCGCCCCATGCGAGTATGTTATACTTCCACACACGAAATGATTTCAGAGCTGGGCGAAGTTACCAAAAAAAGTGTAGAGAGCGGCTGTAAGGAGAGTGCCACAAACGTATTCAACGTGAAAAAATTAATCGACGAAGAAGTACAGGTTGTTTTTTTTTTCTTCATTCTCTCTATATGTCCCATCAACTATAGCTTATTCATATATTTTAGAGCAACATTCCTGTTTGTAACTCTGCTACAGAGATAGCTTCAACAGAATTCCGAGAAGACATGGTTTTCAAGTTTGACGCACCTGTAGAACCTCAGTTAGGGCAACTCCTGGATGAAGACGTGGATTTGACTTTGGGAGACCGTAGAGAAAGCCCAAATCCCTCCGAGAGTAGTAAAAGCGATTCAGACGATGAACAACAAAGTTCTGTTTCAGAAGCTGAAGAGATAAATGCTCCTGTTCGTTATGAAAAGGTTCGCATGTGATACCTTTTGTAAAACATTCTGTTGAAGCAGCTGGCGGTATCTACTCATCAGAATTTTATGTGGTATTTTGTTCTTTTATGTTGAGGTATAAGGATCTTATTTAGAATTCTCGTCCATCAACGGCGGCCGACAGTGAAAGTTCGGCTGATGTTTCTGCTGCAATTACTCCAGTATCATCTAAAGATGTGTCCCCTCAAACAAAAGTAGAGGCATCGTTGAAGTGTCCCAACTGTTCCAACACAAATAAGGTTTTCCACACCCACAAATTTATATAGTGGTTTCTTACTTTTACTAATTCTGGAAGTTTTTTCCTTTCAGGTTGTTTCGACGTGCGCTGTTTGTGACTTGAAAAACGAAGGTCCGACCCCTTCTAAAAGTCCGATCTCCAATGTCACATCATATGTTAGACCGGCTGTTAGTCAAAGCACGTCCGGTGATGGTCCCGAAATTCCTGCAGAATGTCGAATAGATTCCACTGAGACAAAACATTCTAATCTTGAGCCACCGTCTATTTCGAAGTTCCTTGAAATCCCCACTCCTGTAGTTGCAAGTCTTAATTCGGTTTATGTGCCAACAAGCTCACAATCGTTTGTGGTAAACAACGTTCCCGAGGCGGATAAAGAACAGAGATCGGAGATACGTGGATCAGAGGAGCGTAAAGATTGGGAATGTCCAGATTGCATGGTTCAAAATAAGTTGAGTTCACGAATGTTTCTATTTTTAATAACACTCTGCTTCAATAAAAAAATTTCATTGATATCAACTTGGATTTTCAGGCTTCTCATGATAAATGCGTATGTTGTGGTCATGTTATGTACAAATCTGACCAGACGCATACCAGTTCCAATGTGTTCGGTGAGCGAGCTTTCAAAGTTGGAACGAATCCTTCGTCTTGTGAGTACCATATGCTCTGTATTGGCACTATTTCGTTCGTTTTCAAGATTTTGACAGTTGTGATTAACATTAATAGAAAATGGTAGAGAAGTATCTACCGACCCATAAAGGATACGCGTTCAACGGCATTATGCACATTCTTATAAGTAGAATTTGAAAAAACTGACTCAATGTAGTGATGAGAGGTTCTTCAGGTGCTTGGGTCTTCTTCTGTTTGCTCTGTAGTTTGTATTTCTTATTCTACGCACATGTATATCCGACTTTTGGAGAGGGAACCGTTTAGATAACATACCTATCCTCTTTAACTGGAGGTTTTTTGGAAAAGATCGGAATGGAAGTCGTTGGTGTTCTTTATCTTGTCTTCCTGGATTGAGTGATTATTGCATCCGTGCCTGAGAACAGCATTGTTTTTTGGGCGAATCAGCATTCGAGGTCACTTTCATGTTGACGAAGACACCAACTCGCTATATACTCGAATCATCAGCTCCTGAACGACTGACATGCTCATGTAGAGATTGTTGTCGTTCTTTTTCTAGAAAGCGTTAAGTGGTCCTGGCAGTCTATCCGTGTTAGTATGGCCCAGCGCTGATGAGATATTAAGGCTATTTTGGAGCCAACGGAATGAGAGATGTGATTTTTTTTCCTTTGTTTTCTCCCACCAATACCTGTTGGGAGGTTGTAAAGCCTCAGAGGTGTGGTTAGATATACTCACAGGTAGCTTGTGGGTCTTTCTCGGAATAGACGGCGTTGGTTTTTGGAGAGAATTGTCAACCAGCTTCAATATATTTTGTGATCCTTTATTGCGACCTTTTGGCCGATTTGACGTTCAGGGCATACTCCGCATGTGTGCATGGATACGCACCTACATGTACATGGATATATTTATATTCGTAGATAAAGTTTAAATGTGTTGTACCGGTGGAAGTAACTAAAGATTATATCACTCACCTTGCATAAAAGATTGTGATTTAATCCATAGGTAGGTTATTAATCTTTTTTGAAGCGAATTGTAAGCAAATTTAGATGTTATGGAAAAGTCATTTTCCGCTTTCTAAAAGTTCACTCTGCAGTTCATCTACACCTAACTTGCACGTAATTTTAAGCGTACTATAACGGATCCACTGCACCACTGATTGATATGCTTCAGTTTCATTCGGCTTTGGTGGTTTCAACAATGTTCCTAGCAGTGGTAAAACTATCAAATTTGGCTTTGGAGCATCCGATAGGACCGAGAATGCAACAACAAACACGGACACGTCCTTTAATAAAGCTGCAACAATCCCGTCTGGAAACCCGAATCCAGCGGTATCTCCAGAACCTGGGAAGGATACGATTGCGAATACTTCACGTATGCCTTCTTTAGCTAGACGGTGTCACTCATGAGACCAACAACTTTTTTTCCAGCGGGATTCGAGGCCACGACGGAATGTGCAGAACCACAGCCTTCGGCATTCTCTGTTGGGTATGCATTTTCTATTCCTTATTCACATCTTATATATGTTATAGTAGTATTCCCACTTGTAATTGTTTCAGAACTGGCTCTGCTGTTTTTGGTTCGGAACCTAAACCGCCGCTTTTCGGTTCTCTGTCTAGTCCCACGTTAAAGTCGTCCTCCTCCACTGGGTCTTTTTTGCCCGTTTCGTCCAATTCTACATTTGCGAATGCTAGCACTGCTCTAACAGCTGGAAATTCCTCTCAAGTCGGCCCTAACAATGCACCAACGGCATTCGTCTTTGGTTCTGCGTCCTCTAAAGACTTGTCAGGCCAATCAGGTCTACTTAATGTTAAAAACGAGGAAAATAATCCTAATAAGACGACTCCATTTGGAAATAGCCTGAGCTTTGGAGCATTGCCGAACAATAATGCAAAAGTACTGTCTTCTACAACTTGTACCTCAGGTTTATGTGCGGATCCCACAAGTGAGATGCGTTCTACTTCTTGTTCTCTACTTTTAGATTCATTTATTTAAAAACCAATTCCAGATATTGTACCGTCTACAAGTGTTAACATCTTTGGTGGCGCTGGAGCTGCAAAGCCTGTCTTTTCCTCTTTCGGCATTACATCTGAATCCTCCACACCTTTCACGAACACCAACACGTCTATTGGAAGCCAAGAAGTATCGCCTTTTAAGATGAGTGCTGGCACTTCATCTGAGGTCCAGAAACCACTATTTGGTATCGGTACAACTACTGCCAGCAAGCCATTTTTTGGTTCAAGTACTTCATCTACTATTTCTAATTCTAATGGCGGACTAAGTTTTAATTTCGGATCAGCTAAGTGAGTTATAAGTGGATCCACTTTTCGAATGAATGTGATTTTTATGTTTTATATAATTCTAGTACATTTGGCGGTTTTGGCACTTCTGCTTCGTCCTCTGCTGTAAGTTCCTCTTTACCAACTACTTCATCGAATCCTTCAATATTTGGCAGTGCCGCAAGTGTTCCTGAAGCACCCAAGTATGATATAATAATTGGAGATAGTCATGTTCGATACCCACAGACTCTTTTCCAGATCATTTCAATTTAATACTACGCTTCCTGAATCAATATTTCAATTTGGACAAACACCTCTTACTGGATCGACTCCATTTCAGTTCGGTTCATCTCAGCTGGCAACCTCTTCAGTTCCATGTTAGTCGAGTTTGACATATTGGCACAGCATTTTAGGTTTTTGTGGAGACATTATTACTTTCAAGTGCTATTACTCGCTTATTTAAGCCTTCCAAGCTTTGGGTACTGCTACTTCTGCAGCTCCAAGTTCGAACTTTTCCTTTACGTGAGTTTTGTAGTTGTAACTACAAAAGAATTTTGTAAAACAGGTGTCTAAACTAATAAGTATTCAAAAATTGCATAAAATTACATAATAGGTATTAAAATTATAGTGTTAAATAGCTTCATCTGTTGTCCTGAAAGTCGAAGAGATCCTTCCTATATCTTTCTTTGTAGCAATCTACTTTGACTGGAAGTGTTAATCAGCATCGAGTTTAGGTCAAACAACAATCGAAGAATGGCTTCTGCACGGCGACGCCTTCCACAGCGGAAGTGATGCGGATTGCTGTATCGTTATTAGTTGTTGATTTAATCTGTTCATGGTTGTTACTGCCGAGGTATGTAGTTCGTGATCAGTGTTCCTATCATATGCTGGTTATCTTATTTCTTTATTGCATTGTTGAAAGCCATCGGTTACGTTCTTGTTAGCCTTACCAGTGTACTGTTACCAAATTAGAAATTACAGTCAAACATGAGTAGGTTTATCACTCGTTTTTGCCCCATGATGCTTCTCTTTCCATCTTTTATTGTTGACTGTTTCTTCACCACAGAATTTTGAATTGTTTTGTCGTTTATTGATCAATTTTTCATTTGAATCTATTTTGATTCTTTCGTAGATGTTCTATTATTTTATTTTCGTGACAACAAGTTTTTACTTTTGTAATATGTTGGCTAACTTTTAACTGCGCTTTTGTTGCCGTGCGGTTATAGAAGCGAACAGACAACGAAGGGTTCTGTAAAATCTTTTGTTAATCTATTTGTTCACATTAATATCCGGGCATGCGGCTCATTTTGACACCTTGATAACATCAAATCCCATGTTAGTTTCTCTGTAAATGATTGATTCGTTAGTAATTATCTAGCGGAAGTCCCTGGTGTCATTGCGTTTTGTGAGTACAGATGAAGTGAGTCATTAAAATGTACCTGTGGTAGTGTAGATAAAGAGCGATTTGAGTAGTTCACTAGAGTTGTTCAAATGGATGCTAGGAAAGAGGAGATGGATAATTGAGTTAGGCTTAGAACCCGTATAAGATTTGTAAACGATTCACACTGTTTAACTTTTTTTTACTGACTTCATTTCTTCACAGCAGGGTATTAGTGGCTGGAAGCGCCTTGCTAAATATATGGGATCGATCCAGCGTCGAGGGTTCACGAAGCCCTCTATCCTTCCAGGGTAGGCAGATTGATACCAGACTCGTCTGGGAGTGTAGCAGCACTAGCCCAATATATCGGTAGAGTCATTGTAAAGTCCAGATATGCATTCAACCACCTCCAACGATGCTTAATAAGGTCGAGTTCATGGTGCATCACTCAGGGAGATATCAACGTCGAAGGCTTTATCCTTTTTATTTCTCCAAGCACGATGATGCTAGGTTATTAGCAAAAGTCCCAACCTCATGCCAGTTTTGAACACGCAGTTATCTGTTCCGAGAGCTCACGTGCTATCTATTGGTTGGGTGCCCCAAGCAAGCACCGCAGACACTTCCGGTCCGGAGTTTTGCAAATATTTCAGCTCTGTAGAAGTTATATTTCGCACCATACCTTACCGTTAAAAAGAATAGGTAATAGGTAAGAAGGTTATGATTGTGATTATAAGCATAACCTCAGCTTAACTGGGTTCAATGCCGATTTGGGCTCCTCAGATCAAGCCCGCTGACGAGTGATTGCTGATGGAAAAAGGACCATAGCTGAGAGACAGGCGAAGGACCCGCATGGTGTGGTGGTGAACGTGTTACTCCCCGGAAGGGACAATAGCGCGTTCGTTCTCCACCGCAAACACCTGCGCTCCGGAGTTTTGCAAATATATCAGCATTATATACGAGTTATATTTCACAACATACCCTGCTATTAAAAAGAAAAAGGCAGTAAATAAAAGGATTAAAATTGTAGAAAATATAGAAAAAATATAGCGTTATAGAAAATGTTAGAGTTAAAACATGGGTGAGAGGAAAGCAGAGGCTTGGATCGTACACTGGGTTACACGTGAACCCCTGGAAAGGGTACTCGAGGGTCTGAAGCCCGCCTATGGTTCGGATTTTCGCTCATGTCTCAGCGTTGTTGTGATACGCACTACGATGAGAATTCAAGTAACCAGTTGCTGTGAAGGGAACACATACATAAATTTATGCTCGAGGAATCATATGAGTGAGCAAGGTTAGCAACGTATTTTTAATGGATGTTTGACGAAGGTATCGTTTTGCCTATATTGACCGTCTTTATGATTTTTTGGTTTGCTATCGATAGATTTGGTTTTACGGATCTTTCGATAGTAATGATTAGTTGCTTTTGGAAGCAGCTGTCAAATGTCTAGTGTTTAATCCTATCCTACGTTGTAGAAGTAATCCTATCTAGAATATTGGGATTCCTTCTAGTTGCTTCGTCGAATTAGACTCGATGGATAGAAGTTGCTACAAATCCACGAAAAAGATTGGAGGGTTTCCGAAAATCGGCTGTCTTAAGCATCACTTTGCTGTCTCAGGAATGTGTTCTACCTAGAGCCTACTTCAACTAATGTTGCAGAATTTTGATTTTGAGATCGTACGAACGATCTAAAAAGGACAAATATATTATCCCAAGAACTGGCGAGAGGTGTGGTCTTCCGTTGGTGTCGATTTCCTGCTTGAAGGTCTACAGCGCAATTCCGGCTCTTGCGACTCGATCGCTCGTTTATTCCGCCGTTTCTAAATATCGATCTCATCAGTTGTAATAGCGCATTACAATTTGGCTATGGTAATGTGCATATTTCCTATCCTGTTCCCGGTCAGCGTTGATGGACTTCCTCGTGATGACCGTGAATCGTTTTTGGTTCTCTCTTTACTTCTACTTTTGCTCAATACAATAAGCAACGCTTAGCAATCCACCTCACCTGCTTTTGGCGAATTTTTTCACTAAGTATTCGACCACTTGTCTTCAGCTATTCCACTCATCATCTAAATAGTCTCGATGAAGTTGAATCTGTACTAGGGGATGTCTGGTTAAAAACACTGGTGGAGTCGAGGCAATTCGGGTTCCTTTTCGGACTTTACACTTTTTTTTAGATACCTGGTTGGCATTGATAATTGCAGTAAGACCTATTGTAAAGTTGTTAAAGTACTCGTATGGCCATCAATGTTTTTATCACCTCCGAAATAAGTCAATATATCCCATGTTTAGGCTTCTTGTAGAAGAGGTTCAAATAATCCAGTTCAGCTGGTTAATACAAAGTGTGCATTTGTGCTCATATTTGTGGTTAATGGACAAATTATAGGCCAAAGTACATGAACCAAATGAAGAGGTGATAGCATGGCACCTCTTTCGCGCTTCGATTTGCTATCCTATGGTTTGTCTTTATGAACGATAGCAATTCACCTAGCTATGCAAATAATTGATTCGATGGGAGAGAAACCTTGCCGTAAGTGATTTGAGAAGAGATTTGATAGAAATTGTAAACAAGAGATAGAAAACAGTGTTTGCAAGGTGATAAAAGGATAAACGGATAAAGCTCTTGGCGTTGATCAATCCTTGAGGAACTCATGCATTCGTCATGCGTTCTACTTCATTAAGCATCGTTGGAGGTGAATGAATGGATACCTGGCCTCTATAATGACTCGTAGTGGCCTACCGATGTATCGAGCCAGTGCTACTACCCTGCCAGACAAGTCTGGTACCAATTTGCCGACCCGGAGGAATGAAAGGCTTGGTGGGTCATGGGCGCGGGGATCGGCCCCATGTGTATAGCAAGACTCCTCCAACCACTGCGTCACAATCGCCCTTCAAGATGATATATTGCCAAAACGTGATACGATAGGCAGGAAATTGATGTCGCGTTCTTTTGCTTGTCGCTTAACGTTTTCCACTCGATTTCATCGGAAATTTATTTGAAAAGCCCAGCAAATAAGGCTTTTAGAAGGGTAACTGCTCGCGTTTGAAAATGCAATATCCTCCAATACAAAAGATCACCCTCTACCACAGTTGGCGGCCCTTCAACCGCGTTGATTGTTTACCAGAGAACAATAAGCCCTTCTTATGCAGTTGTGCTCTTATTCTGAAATCGTCTGAGAATCGGGACACTCTATTTCGTGCACAGTCTGTATTCACCGTGAGCTCGCGAATGAAGCAGAATCAAACGCTCCGAGCGCCATGCTTTGGGGGCGCGTCGAGCCGACCGAGCCGGTCCGACCAGCGCTGGCAGGCAAGCGTCACGTCGTGCAGGTTCGCAGTTCTTCCGTCTTTCGTTTCTCTCGACTGAAGAGGCGGGTGCGAATACCGTGCGAATCAGTCTACATTGCGACAAATTCGCATTAGAACTGACTGATAGTTATTGAAAAGTTGGTCGTGTTAACTGACGTCGAACAAAGACGAGGTCCATGCCCCTCTTGCACTGCGGCGATGCCACACGGTGAGTGCTATTCGCGTATCTCTCACGTTCTCTGTTATTTTACGATTTTACACTACATCGTCTAATTCCGACGAAAAAATGATGCTCTTAGTAAAATCCACCTGTACTTTCGCTCTACGCACAGTGCTCATAAACTGATATAAAGTTCGCTCTCATCTCTTAGAATAAGATCAATTGGCGTCAAGGTTCTTCCATCTACAGCCTTACAACGCAAAATCGCAAACGGTGGTGACATGGAGAGTTTACTCCATCAGATTTGAACCCCTCACTTGTTAAAGGTTTTGCTGGGAACGAACGAATAGGAATGAAGGACTGATCAACCACTGTCAACTCCTTAGGTGACACGACATTGTAGTATTAATTTCTATGTCTTTTTCCTGGCTATTTTCATTCTTCTGTGGAGCTTACAGTTCTTTCTTTATGAGAGAGAGAGAGAGAGAGAGAGGGAGAGAGAGAAATAATGAATGAATGAATGAATGAATGAATGAA